AGCGCCCGCTGCTGCCGGTGCTGCTGCTGCTGCTCCTGCCCCCGCCGCCGCCGCCGCCGCCCGTAGCCCGCGCCGAGGACGCCTCCCGAGCCAACTCGGACCGCTACGCGGTCTACTGGAACCGCAGCAACCCCAGGTGAGCGGGGGCGGGGGGCACCCCGATCTCCCTCCCCCTGCCGACCAGGCCTGGCCTCTCCGCCCTGAGCTTCGTGTGTCCGGTCCTGCGAACGCGCTGCTTCTGGAGTGGGGGCACCTGGTCCCCGTGGGAGCCCCCAGGGAGTCCCAGCAACCTCGGAGTTTGGGCGACTCGCGCTGCTAATGCATTCTCCTTCCAGGGTGCCCCACTGCCATGCAGTCTTGAGGGACTTGCGCGTGCATGCCCCAGAGTGCCGCCATCCCCAGGAGTTTGGGGATCCCCTCTGGCACCCTCAGACGCTGTGCAGCTCCCTAAGTTCCCTTCCAGACTTGGGGAACCCCATCCTTGGGCCTCTTCAGGGAAGGGAACCCCCTTTCAGAGTTGGTGGGGATTCCTGGGGACCTTGGCAACTGAGCTGTACCTGGAGATGGGGAACCGTGGTCCCCTGGGTCCACAGGTACATTCTACCAGTAGGTACATTCTGCCAGTAGGTCCCCAGAATAACTTGAGGAAGTTGGAATGTCCCTCTCTACTGATCCAGAGTCCACCTTCACCCTAGGGGGTTTCTGGTCCAGGTTTTGTAGGATGAGGAAGACTGGGGTACCTAGGGAGCTGGGGGTCAGTCCCAGGAATCTTGATGGGTAGTACCCTTGCCCATCCTCATAGTGTTGATGGGGACACTGAGGGGCAGAGGGAATGAGCAGCTAGCTCAAGGTCATGGCAAGGGAGCAGAACTGGGGCAGGGACTCAGGTGGCCTTGTTCCTAGCCTGCCGAGATGCCAGCACCTGCCCTGCCTATACAACCTCCTCAGTGCTGGGTGCCAAGTACAATTTGAGGGTCAGCAAAAGCCCCCATTAGACAAAGTGGGGAAAGTTTGCTGGTGACTGACCACATCCTGGACATCAGCAGAAACCTCCCTCTGGGTTGTCCCTGGGTCTCAAAGGCTGGAGTGGTCTGGGGTCCCATGGGAGATAGGGCTCCAAGGTCCCATGGCTTGATTATCGACTCCAGCACTCAGGGTCACACAGCTTTCCCATGGTGGCAGGGCTTAGGTGGCTGGCCTCCCAGCTCCCTGTCCCTCTGCCACTGGTCACTTTCTCTTCGTTTCCAAGTCGTGCAGAGCGCCTTTCTGAGCCTGCCGTCCCCCCACTGTTCCCTGCCGCCTTCAAGGCTTTGGGCCGAAAGTTGCATAAACAGCAGTCTTTGAGGCAGGCTCTGGGACAAGGGTGGCCAGTGTCCGCCGTGGGGGCAGGGAGTACGCCCAGACACTCCCCTCAGTTGCCCAGCTGCTGGGTCGGACCCTGGAGCCCAGGATAGAGACCCTGTGCCAAGGAGGGCTGGCCAGGCCACCTTGGAGCCCGTCTGTCCCTTTGCCGCTAGCCCTGCTGGTCACATGTGGGTTTGATTAAGGCTCTTCCCTGCAGCCGGCTGAGCAGGGAGCCAGCGGGCAGTGCTTCCCAGACCAAGTTTTTGGTTTCAGCTCCAAAATCCCTGTCCCTGTCATGGCCTGTCCTTTGTTCCAGTAAATGCCAAACACATGAGGAGCTGCAAACAAACTGGGACAAACCCGAACAGAAGGGGGTCTGGGGCAGCCCTGTGCCCGACCTGCCGCAGGGCTGTGCTGCTGACAGGATCACATCAGGGAAAGGAGGTGCCAGGTCCTGGCTCTGCCGCCACTCAGCCACCTCCTGTTGCTGACCCAACAGCCCTGCTCTGAGGATCCACCTAAGGGGATGGCCTTGCTTATCTGGTGTAGATCCTGGCCAGCACACCTTTCTCATCTGACCCTCGTCCTCCTGCCTGGGGTATCCCAGGTGGGAGGTGACCCCCCTGACAGCTGTGATGGGGGTGGGGGTTGGGTGATTCCAGATCAGGACTTCATTCATTGCTGAGGTTGGGGGGCTCTGCCAAAGGGAACGTTGGTGCCTGGGGACCCCTTAGGAGGTTTAGTATCCAGGGGTGGCTGGACTGGAACCTGTGCCCAGTGATGGGATGTCTTGGAAGGAGGGTGGTATTGGGCCTCAGGGTCTGAGGGCACTCAGGAATAGAACTTTCCCAAGGGCACTCAGTGCAGGGACCACAGCCTGAAGAGGCACAAGCCTGAAGTGTAAGGCAGTCCCAGAGACAGAGATGAGAGACAGGCTTGATTGGGAGAGACAAGGATGGGATCAAATCAGAGAGATTGGTGGCTGTGGCAAGCTGAGGAGACATAGAAACGAGAAGGGGGGTGTGCCCTGAGAGGGGCACACACAAAAGGCACTGCGAGGAAGGGGACAGAGCTAGGGCTAGGCAGCTGGAGTTGGGGACAGAAGGGCAGAAGAGAAGAGAGGAGCCTGAGGGGTGGCTGTACTCAGGTGGAGATGGACAGGCACTGGTGGCATTGCAGTGAGGCCAGCACCCTCCCGTGCCTGGGCCTGGTACTTGCACTGAGGTAGTAAGTATGTGGCTGTTTCCCAAATTATGTCCTGCTGTGCAGATTATTTCCTTTGGCCCTCGGACTTCATCGAAGAGGGAGTCCGGTACCCATCTCTACTGTTGTCATAGAGCTGTGCCCTGTGCCAATCCAGCCACCCTCGCCTGGCACACCCACCAACTGCTGTCCATCCCTGGGTTAGCCACTGGGCATCTCTGGGCCTGTCCTCAACCAGGCTGGGCTGGGTTGGTCGCCCTCACCTGGCCTGACCACTGGCCAAGTGTGGAGCTGCATGTGCATTTGTGCCCATGGAAGGTGCAGGGTCTGCAGGATGTGTCTGTATGTGTTGATGCATGGTCTTGTCCCTGACATGCGGGGGTCCTAGGGACCCAAGGAGGTGCATGTCTATGTATATGGTCCATATGCTGGTCTGTGTGGCAGGGTGACATATGTGCCTACGTGTGCATGGCTGCCCTGACTTGTTTGCACATGTGTCTATGTGATTATGCCGGAGTGCACACGTGTGGAGGGTGTAACACATTTGCAGGAGTATGTTTGTATGTTTAATGTGTGTGGTATCTGGGGGTACATCTGCCTATGTGCACCTGCATATTTGTACACGGGGAGAATGTGTGTGTTTGTGTGGGGGGTGCACATGTATGTCTGTTTGTGGAGAGCACATGCTTGTCTGTGTGTGCAGCCTGGCTCTGGCTGTCCCAGGGCCTCACTGATGGTGGCACAGTCTGCCCTCCCTGCTCACCCTTTATACTCTCCTTGGGCCAGTTGGTCCCTGCTGGGAGACCTGTCCAGATCCCTCAGGCCCCATGCTGCCTGTGGTGTAGAGGGGCTATTGAGGTTGACAGTGGGTACCATGGAACACTGCAGCCAGACTGGATCCAGCTGTGCCGACATGGGTGGGGCTCTGGGCTTAGTGCCTACCCCACTAGGCATCTCGGGCTCCGGCCATCATCCCCTGGTCCTCCACCAGCCAGACTGCCTATGAGGTGAGCAGCACCCACATTTCCTCTCAAATGACCTGGTGGGAAATAGGGATTTGGGGAGGATGTTCCTCTGCTGTAGGTATGAGGCCTCTTATCCAGTCCCCATCCCAATCAGCCTTGCCTGGGTCTCTGGGCTGGGGGAGGATTGGCTGTAAAGGGGTGACGCTATGTTTTGCCACATGAGGTTTTTTTGTTTTGTTTGAAGAAAAGTTCACACACACACCCCCAGCTTATAGGGCTTGGAGAGTAAGAACCAATGGATCTGGGGATTTGGGGCCAGAAGGTGGGGTCTAGGAGGCTGTGGGAGGGCCTGGACTCAGATTTGTGGGTCTTGGAACCCTGGGGGTGATCTTAGGTGGTGGCTTGGCTGCTCTGAACCTGTGTCTCCTTTGTGAAGTGGGGGCTGGCAGGCTGTGCCGCTCAGCAGAAGGCAGTAGGATTCTAAGGGGCACAGAGAGCCTCTCCCACAGAGAAGGGAAACCAAGGCAGCTTCTGTGGGCAAGAGGGGCTTCCAGGCCCCCAAATCCACAGTGACAGTGATGTCCCAGGGTGGGGACAGCAGTGCCAGGGGGCTGAATGGGGCAGTTTTGAGATGCTCCCACCTGTTGGGGGCCTGGGCTCCCTCCATCTGGGTCTGAGCTAGGGTGCAAGGCCTCCTGTGGTCTGATGGGCCAGTGGGTCCTTCTTTCCCCAGCCTTGGTCCCTCCCTACCATGGACCACCTTGAGTGGTCTTATCAGAGGAAGAAACTGAGGATCGGGGATGGAGGTTCAGAGCCAACAGTAGACACGGATGGATTTGTCCTCTACCTGCCTGGGAGCTGGGCTGGGGACGAGGCTGGCGTCTCCCACCTCCCGGGCCCCCAGCAGATGTCCCCTCAAGGATCATGTGTCCCTCAGGTCATGGGTGGAGGTTGCAGTTGTTCTGGGGGCTGCAGGTCCATTAACGGGAGTCTGGGAGGCAGTGATTTCTTTCCAGTGGCCATTCTGCAGCCCCTGGGCCAGGCTGGGTGGAAGTCCCACCTCCTCAGTCAGGTTTTCTCTGTGACAGCCCTTTTCTACTTCAGGAATAGGTAACATGGCCAGCCATGCCCCACAGTGTCCCTGTGGGGATTTTTCTCTTTGGGAGATAGGTCCAGAGGGAGGGTTAGAATGTGTCCCCCATCCACCAGATGGGCCATGAGCCTTTGCAGGGTGTGTGTGTGTGTGGAGAAAGGTCTAAGCTCCCACCATGCTGCCCCCATCCTAGACTGGTGTATGAGCACAAAAGCCATTGGGGGGTTTTGTTTTCACTTCAGTCAGACTTTGGCGGCCAGTCAGACCCTGCTGCAGGTGCACCTCATGCCTGTCCCTGCATCCACCTGGCTGTTGTGGGCACTCCACCCCATGCCTTGGTCTCCCTGTCAACCCAAGGATCTTGGCTTCAAGGGGCTCCATTCAAGGCACAGGCCAAGTTGTCCCCTTGCCCAGACCACCTGCAAGCCATGCAGCTCCCTAACCCCCACTCACCCTGTGCCTCCATTTCACAGACCCAGAGTAAGTGAGTCATCCAAGGCCATGGGGAAACCAAGCCCAATTGGGTGTCACCCCCTCCAAGAGACAGCCAGGTCTGGGGCTGGCCAAGGAATGTCGGGGACACTGTGTGCATTCTAGGGGAAGACAGTCCTGTACATCTGGCCCATGTCTTACCGAGACTGAGGCCCAGGGCTGTAGCTAATTCTGTGTCACCTCCCCACCTATTGTGCGCACCCTGCTCTATTTTTTTCCTCTTGCTTTATCTCTGGGGCCCCTGCACTCAGTGTATCCCTGTACCCACAAGGCCGTACATGTCATTTCCAACCCTGCAGTACTTTGGGGCCCTAATTTTCCCCGAGGTCCCCCACCCAGCCACCGCCTTCCTGGTGGCCAGGCTTCAGATGGAGAAATGTCTTCTTGGCCCCTCAAAAGCCTGGGGGTGGGTGCTGAGGCCTTAGGGGCCTCACTGGGGGCAGCAGGCAGGGACAAGTGGACTCTGCCCCACTAGGGTGCCAGATGGGCACCTAGGGCCCTGGCGTGCTACTCGCCCCACCAGTGCCTCAGTTTCCAGCCTGGGAAGTCCCTACACCATTTCAGGTGAGATTCCCAATTAGTTGCGTTGCTATTAGTGCCTAATGACTTGACAATTGTCCAAATGGAGCTAATTAGCAGCTTTGCCAGGTGGTTGTGGGGAGGAGGCAGCTGGCAAGGCTGGGGTGGCAGTGAAGGACAGGTCAGGGAGCCCTGATGGGTGAGGGATCACCCAGGGCTGGGAGAGCTGCCTGTAGGAGCAGACTTTGGCAGAGTGATCTAGGTGGAGGCAAAGGTGTGGCTGGTGGGGCTGGAGGAGGGAGCAGGAGGTCTGAAAGCCTGGGGAGCCCTCTGCCTAGGAAAGATCCCAAGTCAGTCACTAACCCTTTAGTGAGAATTTCCATCTCTATCTGCTACAACCACAGAGTATTTTTCATATCAAGCTAAGGCCCCAATGGAGGAAATGAAGGCTTTGTACTGCATGCACCAGGGCACCAGAAACCAGGTTTGGTTTTGGGGTTGGGCCTCTCCCTCACAAAGGCCGGAGGGAGGTGCTCACCCTTGGCTCACTAGCCAACTTGGAAGTGGGAATGCCAACACAGCAAGGCCATTGCTATTTTAGATTCAGGAAGGGGAAAAAATGGCCCGCTTAAGGGGCCAGAGTTCAGGTGGAGGGGAGCTTCTCCTGGGACACCCTTGCCTGGGGTCCTCTATTCCCCACATGAGGGCCACTGTTTACTCCCTAAGACTCAAACACTTTGAGTCCTTGGCCTTTGTTTGATCAACAAACATATATTAAGTGCCACTGTGTATAGGGTCTGTGTTGGTCACTGGAAAGGGGCGGAAAAGGAGGCAGACCCCCATGGTCCAGGAGGGCAGACAGTGGACTATGTAGAGGTAAAACTATGATATTGTAATGAGATATGTGATAAGGTTGGGGGGGTCAAGGAAAAGCATTCCAGGCAGAGGGAAGAGCATGTGCAAAGGCCCTGGGGTGGGAACAGGAACAGCCAGGAGGCTGGTGTGGCTGGAAGGCAGGTAGAGGGTGATGAGGGTGGTTGTGTTGGGGCTACATGGGGCCTTATGGACCTGGGAGGACTGTGGGTTTTATTCTGAGTGATGCAAGTGTTTTGAGCCATTGGATCAGAGTCTGATTGACGTTCAGAAAAGTGAGCCCTGGATTTCGGGAGGCCAGGAGACTGGCCAGCCTTTTGGGGCACAGACGTCTGGCCTCTGATCCAGCAAAGAAAGCGGCCTTGGTCTCTAATGCTTTTCAGAGGGTGAAGAGAGAATGATGGTGGCATCCAGTGCAGGAGTGGAGGGAAGGCAGGCACAATGGGGGACACAGGCAGAAGTGGAGAGGGAAGAAAGGGTCATGCTGTGGCCCCACCTTCCCAAGCCCATTCTGATCTCAGAAAAGCCCTGCAGAGAGCCAGGCTCTCTTTCAGCCTACGTGTGTATCCCCAGGCATCATGCCAGGGACAGGAAGGGAAACTGAGGCCCAGAGGTGTTGGGGGCTAGGACAGCAACCCTTCCAGCCTGGCACCCCTTCCATGGTTCCCCCATTGTAGTCTCCCCTACAGGGCCTGGAATGGGTACCAATCAGCCCCCAAGTGGATGCTCAGCTGCCACTGCCATCTATTGGCTGATCAGTAGGGCTTTTAATGGGGTTGGGAAGGCGTGAAAATTTTCAAAAAGCCTGAAGATCGATCAAGCTCAAGGGGCTGGAGGACATGGCCTGTCAATGAGACACCCATGCCTGGCTAGCCTTGGGGCAGCCAAGGCTGACCCTCGTCCCAGCCTGGCCCTAGCCCCAGCCTGACCCTGTCCCAGCCTGAACCTGGCCTGACACTTCCTGAGTCTAGCTGCCAGACATATTTATTCTACAAAAACCCTCCCACCTCTGGGAGGTGGGATGAATTCCCCATCCCTGTACAAACCCAATAGAATGGGGAAGGGACTGGGGGAGAATCTGTTCCTTCCGGTTCCCAGAACTGAAATTCTGTAAGCCTCAATCTTAGCTACAGACTCAAAATCACTGCTGTAGTGATGGGTGGGGTAACAGGAACAAGTGAGCAGGGTCTTCTGCCTGCCTCATTCCCACCTCTGGGGGTCCCAGGAGCCCTCACCTTGCCCGGTGCAGCATCTCAGGGGCAGCAGGGGGGCCAGTCTTTACCATCTGATAATCCAGTGGCCCCCCAAGTGCTGACTGCCAATTAGTGCCCCTGGCATGGGGGCCGTGTGGAGCTCCCTCCCACAGGCTGGGCTGCTAGCAGGGTGGGTTCAGAGGCAGTAACGGGCCCTCCCTGCATCTCACCCTGGCCTGTAACCCAAGGTAGTGATGGAAGGGGAGCTGCCAGATCTCTGCCTTAGCTGATATCCATCCTCCTAAGACAAGGCTGGGTCAGGAGGGCTCCCCAAGGAAGGGGGCTCTGGCTGCAACACAGTCTAAAGGGACTTCCCTGTCCGGCCTGCTTGGCTTAGTGGTTGAGTGTTGACCTCTGAACCAGAAGGTGAGGGTTCAATTCTCAGGGCACATGCCCCGGTTGCCGGCACCACCCCCCCAACCGTGGGGGGTGTGTGTAGGAGGAAGCCCATCAATGACTTTCTTTCATCATTGATGTTTCTATCTCCCTCTCCCATTCTCTCTCTGAAATCAATAAAAATGTACTTAAAAATAATAATAAAGGGATCTCTTTGGCAAAGGCTGGGAGTCAGAGCTGGGGGCGTGGAGATGTCATAAGTGGGGGAACCTGGTGGAGTGACCAGGAGCTTGGGGGACAGATGCCGGGTCCCTGAGGCTCCTGAGGGAGGTTGCGGTACTTGCTGGGGTCACACAGGATGGAAGGGGTGGGACTGGGGGGTTGTGCCCAGGACACCTCTGAGCTAGGCCCAGGGAATGCCTGAGGTGTTCTTCACTCTCAGCCCCACCACCTGGGGGTAAGCTGAGGCAGAGCTTGCCTGGAGGAGGGCAGAACTCTGGGCCTGTGTCCCTGGCGCCACCCTGGGCCTTCTGGGCAGGTGGATCTGCAGAAGGAAAGCTAAGGAGGCTACATGTGTGGGCAGGATGGGGGGTTATCTGGAGGAGGGGGTATCAAAGTCAAGCCGTAATAACGTTTCTGGAGAAGGACTTCCTGGTGGGTAACAGTTTTTGAGAAGCCTGTTGCCAAGAGAGGCCCAGATGTTGAACCT